GAGTCCCCACAGGAGTTGGGAGTTCTCTCCGTGACCTCATGAACTCAGCATTGAGGGGATAAAGACCTTGAAAAAGTCGCTGAATTAAAACATTCTCCCACAAGGGATGTGTGGGCCACAGGCTGCACCGTGTTCTCATGACCTCTGCAAACACAAACACAAACTCGCATGTACACACTCACAGCTACAGTCCAGACCCACTTCCTGGTTTCAGAGGGGATTTAGTGGTTTAGCTAGTGTTGCCTCTTGACCTAGACCCTACAGATGGAGAGAACGAGGAAAGAAGGGGTGTGGGGCCAAAAATACTCCACCAGGCCAGCCGCAGGAAATGCAAACAGATTATTTGGGTAGACATAAGTGATGAATAAAAAATAAATGAATAAGTGATGTAGGGATGAAGTAGACCACAAGAATACATTAACAACGAATCTATCAATGTTTTGACAAACCAAGGATAGTATGAATTTCCAGGGGCGGATCCATATGTTTTTATCCAGACTTGTTTTTGCACTTCAAGCTTCCTCCTCATGTTTTTTGCATTTTTCTACCAGTGTGGCAGGATGTGCCATAGTTTGCTGTGTTCATTGCATTCCTGTTGGTTTTTGACCGTGAGTAAGTTGGTGACTGTGATTTTGTGGTGAATCGTCTGCATGTTGATCTACATCAATCACATCATCAGCATAAGGACCATGTTTGAGCCACTGGTCTGCAAACAGCAGACTGGTGGGCACATGGTGGGGACCACTAGCTTTTCTGGCTAGGCTGGTGGGCACATGGTGGGGACCACTAGGTGACCACAAGTCCGTGTGCTTCTTGGAAAGCGATACGGTTTATATGAAGTAAATGTTATTTTACTAAATATTGAATAGTAGATAATGTTCCCTCAGATGACAGATTTCGTTTGTTTTCAGGGAGCATCTACTCAAGTCCGGGCTTGTACAGCAAGACCATGACTCCCACCTACGACTCCAGGGACGGCAGCCCACTCTCACCCACCTCTGCTTGGTTTGGAGATAGCCCACTGTCTGAAGGCAATCCCAGTATCCTCGCTGTCAGCCAGCCAATCTCCTCACCAGAAATCCTGGTGAAAATGTACAAGCCCCAGTCCCTGCTGGACAAAGCCAAAATCAACCAGGGGTGAGATTAACTTGCCTTAGTGGTTTGTTCAAGCTGTTTATAGTCATAAAGTCCGTGGTTGTCTGTCAATGAAATAATTGAAATGAGACACTGTGTGTCTGCAGGTGGTTGGACTCTTCCAGGTCTCTGATGGAGCAGGATGTGAAGGAGAACGAGGTTCTGCTGCTGAGGTTTAAATACCACAGTTTCTTTGATCTCAACCCTAAGGTAAATTCTACAGATAAAGAGTTTTCCTCAAAGTAGCCAAGTGGAATGCATCAATTGCTAAAATTACAGTAGTATTGGAGACAAAATACTACAACATTACAAACCTTCTTCTTCAATTCTTTGGGTTCTTCTGTGTTTTTGTAGCTTTGCTCTAATGCCTTCTACCAGTTGTAATTTCACTGGTAAATGTTTGCTCCCAGATCTATAGACGCACGTTTTTCCAATTTTCTTTTTAACTGTCTCTAGTTTGCTTTCATCACCCATTTAGAACTATTTATATGTTTAAAAAAAAAGTCTTTTTTATGATGTAGCAGCACAATGATGTGTCAGACTCTGAGTGAACATGCTTTTCTTTTTCTTTTTTTGTTCGTACACGTCTACAGTACGATGCCATCCGAGTTAACCAGCTCTATGAACAAGCCAAGTGGGCTATCCTGTTGGAGGAAATCGAGTGCACGGAAGAGGAAATGATGATGTTTGCCGCCCTGCAGGTAAGAAGATTCTCTGTCTCTGTGCCGTGGCCTGATCTCAAATGTTCCTGTTTCAGCATTGTTTTTTTTCAGTGTGCAGCATTCCTCGGTACCAGCATTCCATTTTAACTGGACACAATTCTGTCTTAGCCACAAGCTAATAAATTGGATCGGGCCTCCGGCCCAGAACTGAGCCATGTGGCTGCCACTTCTACTGCGGCGTCCAGACTTAGACTTTTTGCATCATTGCAAAGTGATTCAGTGGGGTTTTATCTAAGACTCCTAATGGACTCTGGCTCAGCATAAATCAGTTCCTTGTAATTCATTAAACATCAGTTGAAACAGACATCAGATCTAAACTAAAAAAAACCCCAGTCATCGTTAAAGAAATGTAAAGATTTTTTGGTGGACTTTTTGACCACTCTTGTTGTATAACACGCCGAGTCTCTCAATAGTCAATGGCAACCATTGTCTGATTCTACTGATTCACAAAGTGCCAGACATTTTCAATAGAAGAACAACCTGGTTCACAGGCAGGACAGTCCAGCACACACACACACACACACACACACACACACACACACACACACACACAAAAGCCACAATTTCTTATTGTGCAAAATATTGTCAAGCTGAAAAATCCACAGACTTTCTGGAGTTTCTTTCTAAAAAAAAAAAAGTTGTACGTTTAGACATGATTTATCTCTGTATCATATATTTAAAATGAACACTTTTCCCCTGTTCCATAATGGTTAAATGAGTTATTGGGGTTATTAATTTGTTTATTTTTTTCTGGAATTAATTTTCAAACGACATTGTTCCCTCCTGAAACAGAGGTGAACCAAAGAGAATTTAAAAGATGACTAGTGTACTACTAGTGAATGACTAGTATATATAAATGGGGATCAACGCAGTGATGTACAGATGCGAGCCCCCTTTTACCCCTTCAGGTTGCCCCCTTCTGACTGGGGTTGGTGCCCTGGCTATTTCTGACGCTCATAAACTGCGGGTGCCAAGACCTGAGGACGCCAACCTGTCCTCACCCCCAGGGTAATTATAGAGTATCTGGGTCCCCGGGACCCTCTGCTTCAGCCAGGTTCTAACACTCAAATTTACACACACACACACACACTCTGACAGAGTCTCTGAGGTGTGAGGTGTGTGTCATCAGACCAGTTATAATTACTCTGAAACGCTCTCTTCTTACTCTTCTCGTGGCAGGATGCTAATCTGCCGCTCTGTTGCTATCTGTCAGCTAGCACTGTGGTAGCTACTGTGGGGCTTATAGATTTGGCATTGGTTTTACTGTGTCTAAATAAAGAGCGGTGATTGTCCAGTAGCTGAATACCATCACCTGGGAGTTTCACTTTGGCCGATGAGGCAACAAGAAGTGGAGAAGCGTCATTTCTATAAAAGGCTTGATGACCAAGAGAAATTGGAGCCGCTCGTTGTACTCTGTTGGTAACACAGCAGATGGTCACATGGCCTCAGGCAGTTGTTTACACTAACAGGAAACAAGCCCATTGGTGTTTTTTCAGGTTTTAAAAGACTTGGTGAGGTGGAGGAGAAAGAAATGTGTGTGTGTTTAACTCTGTGTGTGCGCGTGTGTCACCGAGAGCCCTTTGTCCTACATTCTGTAATGTAATCTGGCCAAAGCGTCACATATCTCTCTCATATTCTGCCCGTGTATCTCTCATTCTCTGCACAGCTGTTCACTCATATTGGTCCTGGTTGCTGACGGGTTGACATTATAAATGCCTTTTGTCAACAAGTTGTATTTAGTGGCTGTGACTCACCCTATTCCAAGTAATGGGTCTGTCTTGATTAATTGGTTTCTGTATTGTTACAGTATCACACAGTTTACCGCCACGTCCCGTTGGCCTGGGATCGCACACATGTTCCCAGTAAAAACTCTGCTGTTACAGTTCAAAGACGTTGTGATTGTTAAACTCCAAACTATAAAAACTACTTGTCTCCATGAATCACCGCTGTGTATGACTTCATTCTTCCTTCACTGGAGTTTGGTCTTCTCATCTTCAAAGATTGTTCCATCACTGGTAGACACTGCGGTGCATACTGGCACCACTCGCTGACACAGATGCCAACGAAGTTATGAATTTTACGTGTTTATTAGCAAAGCCAGTTCCCATTGATTCACAATTCAATCATTGTCCATTATTGACCCAGGAAATTGGTGAAGAACCTTAGACTAAGTTTCTTAAGTCGTCTGCATTTGAACGATTTTCTCTTTTCTCATTTTTAGTGTATTCTTTCTTTATGAAATAAATTACTGAATGTTCCAGACTTTATGATGCACTCAAGTATTTGTGTATTTGTGTATACTGTAGACTTTATGATGCACTCAAGTATTTGTAGCATTTATTTAAAATTGCATTGTTAAGAGAAAAAAATGTATACACGTTTAACTGGTCTATACATTTTATTTATTTTTAAAACCATCACAGTCGGCTTCATTTTACTTTTATGTAATATTATTTTACTGTTAAGTTTTTTTTGTTTTTGTTTTTTGTTTTTTAGTAGCTCAGTAGCGGTATTCCGTGGTCGCAAGTGTAGACAGTGTCCTCTTGTGGCAACAGGTGATATGGACTATATTTTGATAGAGAAGGTGCTAAAGAATTTAAGTCTACAAAAATGTGTGTGGCTTCCAGAAAAATACAGTATTTTAGCTGGCTATTATAGTAGTACTTTATTAATACCCTAAACCTGGGGTCACCAACTATATTTGTTAGAGGGCCAGATTTTTTCTGGATAGACACCCTGGGGGGCCGGACGTTAGCTGGCTATTATAGTAGTACTTTATTAATACCCTAAACCTGGGGTCACCAACTATATTTGTTGGAGGGCCAGATATTTTCTGGATAGACACCTTGGGGGCCGGACGTTAAAAAAAAAGAAAGAAATAAAAATCAAATTTTTGTCAATTATTTGATCGCAGGCTGGATTGGATGGCTCAGTGGGCCAAATTCAGCCTGCGGGCCACCAGTTGATTTCTCCCTTAAACTGTCCAGTAACAGTACTAACATTGGACACACAGAAGGGGTGAGCTCCACTTTTCTGCCCCAGCATGCTGGGGTTTTAGTGCTTGCTCAGTCTACAGTGTAATCCTTTTCTTGGGGATCAAACCAGTTCACTGTTGGTCTTCGGGCTCTAAGGCCAAGACCACTCACCACTGCTCCACAATGTGGCCCGTAAACAACATGGCCTCAGATTTACCACACAGATATTGTCAAACTACTTTAATGGTCTTTATAAAACAGTCCTTTCCACTGCATCTTGTTCACTCAGTACCACATCAACAAGCTGTCCATCATGTCCTCGGACAACCACATGAACAACAGTGAGAAGGAGGTGGACGAGGTGGATGCAGCCCTGTCAGATCTGGAGATCACTTTGGAGGGAGGGAAGACGTCCAACACACTGGTATGACAGGAAAGACTGTAAGGAAATGTGTTGTAGTCCTGGTCGAATTTTCATTCTCATTACAGAAAGTCACACTGACCTGAGGTCAGTATATCTATATATATCTATATATATATACACCGTATGCATGTCTGAGGAGTGACTAGCTTTTCACTCTAGTTATCTGTAAAACTGATCACAAACTCTTGAGTCTATAAATATGACCAGTTTGTATTAAAATATTTTCCTCTTCCTCCCAGGGTGATATCACATCTATTCCTGAGTTAGCCGACTACGTCAAAGTCTTCAAGTGAGTCTGTCCTCATACACCGTGGCTGTTATCAAATACTCTTGTGTTACTGGCGTCAGACTTTGTGAAGAGATTTTATTCGTCCAAACTAAGGCAGAACCTAACAGAGAAGAAGGACATTAAAAGAGTGGTAAATGTTGCCTTTTGTCTGGTTTGCATCAGTGAATAAAGGCAGGTTGTTTGCTCGCCAGTGAATATTTGCAGGCTGAGTTTGCAGTTTACTTTTTTTTTTTTTTTAAGTGATTACAGTTGGAACAAGCACATTTTGAAGCATGCTCACTTTTGGCTGTAGGCCTTTGCTGACAGGCAGATGACCCCTGGGGTGTTTCACTCATAAAATGTTCAAACCATTTGGGGGGAATATTATCGAGAGGCATTTCCTCTTTAATGGTTTTCCATTAGTGTTCCTGTCAAATGCTTTTCCTGTTCACCTCAGGACAGATGACTTAGCATTAAAGGAGCTTTCTCATCCTCTTCCTCTCATCCTCTGCTTTTCTACTCACTTTTATTTCCCCTTCCAATTACTATCTAGAATTTTTTTTGTTTTTTTTGTTTCAAGTATGTCAATTCTGCCTCTTTTATCACTCTTTATTACATATAATCCAGACCTAAAAAACTGACGCTGAAGGGCTACAAACAGTACTGGTGCACGTTCAAGGACATCACAATCTCCTGTTACAAGAGTAAAGAGGAGGCACACGGAACACCGGCTCACCAAATGAACCTCAGAGGTGAAGACACACACAAAAACACAAATAATCCCACCACAATGCAAGAATATATTCCATTATTTCTTTCTCACCATTTCTCCTACTTCTTGGTGTAGGTTGTGAGGTAACTCCAGATGTGAACATCTCGGGTCAGAAATTTAACATCAAGTTGCTAATCCCTGTAGCTGATGGCATGAATGAGATCTGGCTTCGATGCGACACGGTAAGACCAAACCTGTTGTACTCTTTGCTTCACCGTCTTGTCGTCCTGAGGGTTTTTTATTGATCTGTGTATGACTTTTCTTTTAATCCTACAGGAGAAACAGTACGCCCACTGGATGGCTGCATGTCGCCTGGCGTCCAAAGGCAAGACCATGGCCGACAGCTCTTACAACCTGGAGGTCCAGAACATTCTGTCCTTCCTGAAGATGCAGCATATGAACCCTGACCCACAGTTCATTGAGCCAATCACCACAGACATCAACCCAGAATGTCTGGTGTCTCCACGCTACCTGAAGAAGTACAAGAACAAGCAGGTAGGCCACGTCGACTGTGTTTGTCTACAGAGCTGTGACTCTCTGCCTCTGAATATAAAGATCTTCTACAGAAAATTAGTAGTTAGTGTTGTACCTTGGAGGAGAAAGGAGGGGGAAAAGGAGCGCTTTGTGTTGTTTGAAGGAGATTGGTAACTTGTTTGTTGTCGGGTGAGTTGTGGTGTTAGACTGTGCAACTTTTGATGCTTCCCAGATCGGCGCCTACTGGCATCAGGGTTGTCTTCCATTGGAATGCAGTCTCCCTTTTTTCCTCCCCCTCTTGTACATTTCCTCCTCCTCCTCCTCCTTCTCCTTTCTGTTCCTTTACCCCACCCCTCCCTGTCCAAGGGGAATCCAGGACAGCAGACGTCCAAACTACTCAACGTGCACCTCTCATGAGACTGTAACAGATATTTGACCTCGAAGCATCTCAGTCTTTGTGATCGTAGACAAAAGGGTGAAATGCATAGAAGATCTCAGGTGGTAACAGAGCAGTGAAACCTGAATTTGTTTGTCTAAATGACACATTTTAGAGGTAAAGATTCATAGCCGCGAGACAAAAGCAAGCACCCTACGAGAACATCTAAACACTAAGGATAAATTAAGTACATTCTACTGTGTGCCCTGTGGATTTGCACGCAAGCAACAGGCTGTTTTGTGTGTATACTAAAACAGCTGAGTACACGGATGTCATGACTGTGTTACTTGGGAGTGGTGGGGAAGAGAGGAGGGTTCGCTCTAACCATCGTTTGCTAGAGGCTTAGAGAAAGAGGTTTGAGCAGAAAGTGATGAATCACAAATAGCCTTGATAAAAGCATGGATAATAACAAACAGGAGAGTGGATGTCAAAGAGGACAAACGGCTTTGTCAAAGAGATCCAGTGTTGTTCCAACATCTGTTCAGTCAACATTGAAACAAGTCAATTTTGTATCAGTTTGACTAAAACCAGAACTTAAATTTTGCAATTTTTTCTTTCAATTTAAAAAAACATTCAGACTCACGATGGTACCGATGGTCAATTTAGTTTCCACATGACAAAAAGAATTGGGATTAAACCACTCATCTGTTTGCTGTAGAACATGCAGGCTACTCATGTCTTCCACTATATTTTAATATATATTTTAAACATATTTACTTTTCCCTTTGCTAAGTGTATGCTAAAACACAGAGTAGCCAAGTCAAGCTGTGGCCAGACCGACTTCACTGTGAATTCAAAAATGATGTCTTCATGCTAAATAGGAAAGCTAACCATGTCTGGGCCTAATGTACTTCATTTTTCCAGTGATCACTTCCAGAGAGGCTGGAGCCCATGACAAAGATTCTCCTCACATCTCCATTAAACGTGATATTTTACAATGTCATAGTCATGATACAGGAATGTTAATTTGGGAATCATTTGGTAATTGAAACTCACATGAACCATCTGCTTGCCATCAAATGCTCCATCGAAGCTGTTGAATGCTAACGGCGTAATAGCAGTCTTTACTTAAATTGATTAGGTTGCCCGTTTACTGAGCCATTTTTAGAACAAATAAGAACAGAATAAGTGCTCTGTGTTTGTTTTGTTTTTTAGTACCAATGACAAATGGAACAAAACTGGTCAAATGAATTGCCTGGAACAGAGGTTAGCTTTAGCAGGGGGCAGGAGGTAGACTTTTGGGTGTGTGGGTGTGTGTGTACGTGTGTATCTTGGTCTCATTCTGGCCCAAGTCCAATCAGACTCTTTAACACAGAGTGACAGGAATGTCCTTGGGCACAACATGAAAGAGCAGCGACATTGTATACAGTGTGGGTGTATGTGCCTGTGTTCACAAGTGCACACTCACTTATGTAGTGCGGGGGCGGCGGGGGTTAAGGCAGCAGGAAATGAGGCACTCTGGGAATGCTGCGCGGGAAAACTGTCTGGGAAAAGCCCATTCGTTCTCTCAGTCAGCTGCGACCCCACCCCTCTCCTCCTCCTCCTCCTCTTCCTCCTCCCTTACACTCGACTTCCTGTGGTCAGATTCGTCTGAAGTAATTTCCGTGCTGCGCTTCCCAGTGATTTACACACACACACACACACGGATCCATTTTTAGATTGGCGACACTTGATGAGTCTGAAATCAGATGTATACATTTACACCACAGAGACAACACATTATAAAAGCACAGTCAAAAACTCCGAGACGGGACACTCCTTGTTTCTTGTTGTTTCCGAAAGAGACTGCTTTGTATGTGCTGCCATCTTGTGGATGTATGAGATAATGCAGGTCATTTAAGAGTGGAGGTTTTTTGTCACATGATCAGTTATGGTATAAATCTACAGCGAAAGGTAAGTGTGAGTTCCTCCTCAGACTCTTCGTGTTTAACACTGAAGAATATACATTCACAGAAAGAAGTCCAAGAGGAAACGAGCTCATACAAATGAACAATGTGAATGACAGGAATCAAAAACCATGATGGAATTTGAAGTGGTTTTGGATATGAAAAAGTAGCAGATTATAAAATAAGAAAGTGACATTTTTCTTCTTTATACTTGACTGTAGGAATATGACCAAATGTAAACAGTTTCTATATTGTTACTAGTTTGATTTTAATGTGGATTTAAAAGCCCTACTTCACACATGTTGTACCCTTCTTCCTCTGTTCTCTGAAAATGTACCCATGCATTAATGCTTGAGCATGAGCCTCAAACCTCTACGCTGCTCTTCCATTTTTGTTTTAATGATATTACTCTTTTGTCTTTGTTTTAAACTCCTTTCCCCCTCAGCATTGATTTAAATTCACTTCCCTTTTTTTACTTTCTTTCTTTCTCTTCTCATATGCATCTCCTTCATTCCCCTGTGCCTCTCCCCTCACCCCCACCTCCTCCCCTCTTCAGCCAGGCTATATCAGGGACCTGGTAAGTTGAGTTGTGTGTCCACTGGGTGCCTTTAATAAAAAAAAAAAACATAGATCAGTGCATGACTGTCTTAACCGCGTCGCTGTACTAGAAGTATCTGTGCTACACACCAGTGTTTCCCACACATCAGAGAAACCTTTGTGTTGCTGACTATTAAAAACGGACCTTTAACCTGCATTTTCTCTATCGTGTTACTTAACCTAAGTTATGTGACGGACCTTCAAATACAGAGAGTGTGAAGCTTAGGAATGTTTTAAATAAAAGATTACTCCCTACATGCCCTCAAAGTAGGGCCCAGCCCCCCACCTAAAAGATTACTCCCTACATGCCCTCAAGGTGGGGCCCAGCCCCCCACTTTGGGAACCACTGACCTACACTATATATAATAGATGTAGCTTTTTAGGATTCAAGAAGGAAAAAAACGCACAGTTTGTCTACGTTACTGGTCAGTTTCTGTTTGTGGGAAACACTGGACATAATTGTAATAGTGGCTAGAACTGTGTAGTAGAGTAGAACATGTATTGTGTAGTAGTTTCAGTATGTTTACAGTATTGTAACTGAAGGTTTCACTTCATGTTTTTAAATGACAGACAGAGTTTGTTATGAACAAACACAACAACAGAAAGTAGAAAGTAATGAATATAAATAAAATTAATAAAAATGAAATATTATCTGTCTCTCAGTAAGAAGTCTCTGGCCAGGCTTCCGTAACTCCTGTTGTTTTCCCAACTTTCCCACTTATTTTGCCAACTTGTTTACCCAATATTAAGGACTTTACCTCGTATTTATTACCTAAAGTACCATCATAAATATATACAAAAATGAATATTTTCTACCTCATTTTTGAAACTGACCTGTAAATATTTAACATTATTACCGTAATAAGAAAACTGCAGCCAACAATTTAGCATAAACAGTTCAAAGTTAGCCTAAGGATGGTTACATCATTGGATAGAACAGTGTGTGTTTCTTCACTTTGCTCAGTGTGTGAAGTAACTTATCACATCTCTCTGGTTATTGTTTGACAAAGTGTTGATGGCTCCGTGTTAGCCACGGTTTGTTTATACCCCAGGGTGGGTGTGGGTGTGTGTCTGTGTGTGCACTGTGTGGTTTAATTGTTGGGAACATGCGATGATGGGTCACGTTTGTTTATTTTACTGAATTCATCAGTGGTTTCTGGTGCTCCACTGCTGTTCCAAATATGTCATCTGGTTAATGTCTGTGATTGTGTATTTTAATTTTAATTTTAATTTTTTTTAACAGATCTCAGCCCGGATCCTTGAAGCCCATCAGAACGTGGCCCAGATGAGTCTCATTGAAGCCAAAATGCGTTTCATCCAGGCCTGGCAGTCACTGCCGGAGTTTGGAATCACTCACTTCCTGGCCAAGTGAGTCTCATCACTGCTGACTGACGTCCAATAGATGCTGACATTTCAGAAACACATCATTATCATAGTATCTCAAGTCAACAGTTAAATACTCTTCCACTAAGTGGCAGTAGATTGCAAAAAAAAAAAAAGAATTGTTGAAGATCCCATGTGTGTCTTTCTTCAATTCCTGCAAGTATTTCAGCATTATGTTTAACTAAACAGGCATAGACTACACACAGAGTAAGGAAATTGTGACACTTTTGTTTTGTGTGGGATGTTTTATGTTATGTTAAACATTTGTCGTGGCTCAAAAAAATGTTGGGAAACAGGTTTATGCCATGGACACATTCACTCACCAACATCTTCTCTGCAGGTTCCAGGGTGTAAAGCGAGAGGAGCTGATTGGTATCACCTACAACCGTCTGATCAGGATGGATGCCAGCAACGGCGATGCCATCAAGACCTGGCGTTTCAGCAACATGAAGCAGTGGAACGTCAACTGGGAGATCAAGATGGTGGGAAACTGTCTTTTCTTTAGTCGTGTTTGGTTTCGTGCTTCTATTCGTCTGATGGTTCTTAGTGTTCTGGGTTCAATCATTGTTACCTGGTCCCCAACACAGTACTGGCTGAAATTCAGCCTTAAATTATGACAGAGCTCAAAATCTCAATGTGTCCAGGAGGAGATCAGGCAAACTGAAATTTTAAATTAAAAAGTCCTTCTATTCTAGTGATCATGAACTTGTGGCCCTCGGGCTGAGTCTGACCCTCCAAACTATCACCCTCGGGCTGAGTCTGACCCTCCAAACGATCAAATCTGGCCCAAGACTGAATTTCAAAATAAATGTCAAATATTAATGATAGACAGAAATGTGATCTATATTTAATTTTGTTTGAGTGTCTGACCCCCAGGGTGTCTGTCCAAAACAATTCTCGCCCTAATATGGGCACCCCCGGACCATCCTGTTTCTTGTGTGTTTTTGCTTCGACATTTTAATCTGATGAATTTCACAGACCAATTAATCTAATTAACTTCGACAGCCCTAATAATGACGTTAGTGTTGTCAAAGCTCGACTCCTAACTCTGTCTCCACTGTTTCCTAGGTGACAGTTGAGTTTGCGGACGAGCCCAGCCTGTCGTTCGTCTGCGCCGAGGTGGACTGTAAGGTGGTCCACGAGTTCATCGGCGGCTACATCTTCCTGTCCACACGTGCCAAGGACCAGAACGAGTCCCTAGATGAGGAGATGTTCTATAAGCTGACGAGCGGCTGGGTCTGAGCTGCCCGCCAGGAGGTCAACCCTTAGGTCAAGGGGCTGGGGGAGGGGGGGCGCTTGAATAGGATTATTTTATTCTACTTTTCTCCGTTCTTTTGCAGCTGCGCGGATGAGTCCATAACCGCACGGCTTTATGATAAAGATACTGTTTTTATGGTTTTGTTACCGCTGACGAGGTCATTGTTACGACACTAACCTGTGCTGAAGTCCAGACCGGCTGAACTCTGACCCTCACTTCTCCAGGTTAAACCTAAGCCTTAAACAAACCCCATGTTTGTCTCTCACCCACGCCCACCTGCTTCCTCTCCTCCACCTGGATGAATGACCATCGTCTTGTGTCCATGACTTACCCTTTAAAAAAAAACAAACAATCAAAACAACAAAGTTTAATCCCAAAGATTATCATTCATCTTTCTTCTCACTTCATCTTTTCTGTCCCTTTTTTCTCTCTTCTCCTGTAACTGGACTGAAGGAGTCAACGTTATTTTGTGCCACAGAAAAACTCACATCTATTACTTATTTATCCTGATGGAGGGGTCGTCCTCAGAGTCTGATCCAGGGGGTAAACACCAGTAAATACCCCACGATTGATATGAAGGTTTTAAAAATCGAATCTTTAGAGTCGTGTGTTAGCACTTGTGCAGTATCCAGTCCTGTTTATGAATAAGCTGTTTTTAACTTGTTTTTTTTTAACTTTTCATTCTCATCTCTTGTTTCACAAGTGAAGTCCAGTTTCTCTGTAGCGTCTAACTGTAACAGCTGCGACACACACGTGTGACTCTGAGAGCTCGGAGTTGAAGGACCTGTTTTTTTTTTAACATGTTAAATATGTTAGAGTTCTTCTTGAAGAACATGCTCAAAATATCATGACAAATGATGTGCAACATCAGCCCCTGTGTTTCAAAAACCAGAACAAGAAGAAGTACCAAATCTTTTTTTTTTTTAGCCACTGGTCGTACTCCATTACTGTAAACACCAGTATTACATGTTACAAAAACCAATGTTTCCCAGTTCTTTATTGTTTTTAACAGACAACATTTTGTTAACGATGTCTTTAGACAAATTACACTAAGCCGCACAGGTTCTTAGGCTGCATAGAAGAAACAGACGTAGGAACAAGTATAAAGACACTGATTTGTTCTCTGACCTCAGAATACACACATTAAAAAAAAAATCTCCAGGATTGTTTTATGTCTGTTTACAATTTTCATCTATACAGGATTGGGATTTACAAAAAGCAAACAGTTAACTGAAACAGTTAGGTAACAGTTGTCACATTTTCTTAGAATTCAACCTCTTTTTTTTTTCTTCAAACGGTAAAGTTTAAAGTTAACACCTACGTCCATTTCTTATATACGGTCTATGATGTCGACATTATAAGATCATGTTTTCCCACATTTCAGCATTAATGAAACTTTTTAACTAAGATTATTAGATTATGTCCCTAAATTATGAATGGCATCTACATTTAAAAATGTCTCACCCCATCGTAGCGTTAATATTTAAAGACTTGACGTGAGGCTAAATGAATTATTGTCCAAAATTAACCCTGACTCTGTCCTGGAGACATGAATTTTTCATTTTCTCACCACAGAGTGTATATGAGAGAGTGGAGTGTCCAGCTGCATCAATGTTTCATCGGATCTGTGTGTGTGTGTGTGTGTGTTCTTTTCAAATCCTCCAGGCATCTGCCCTTGCTTTAGTCCACTTACACTACACGAGGACCTGAAGTCCCTCAGGTTCTTGTTCTACCACCTTGTTGTTGTTTTACTTTTACTTTTTTTTTGCCTTTTTCACACCATATAGTATTAATATTGTTATTATTATTCTTAATTTTATCATTACACACCAGCAGAGGTCACTGAGTTTGAAGAACGAATAGTGGAATAGTGTTTGTTTTCTTCTGTCCTCAGTATGAAGGATTAGTCGATTATTTTTTGTAACTAATGTAAAAAAAAAACACACACAAACGTTTTATAGAAATTGTACAGTTTTCCTGCATTTTTTTTTTTTTTTTTTTTTGAAGGGAGGGTTTTTTTTTTTTTCATCAGGGGAAAAAAAACAATGGGGAGGGTGTCCAACATGTAGTGTTCAGAAATGTGCCTGCTTATGTTGTGGTCTTTCAGATGAAGATATATATGGATTTACATAAATGAAGATAACACTAGTCTCAAACTCCAGGTTTGATGAAGATGTTTATCGAGTACATATATTATTTTTCTTAATGTTGCCTTTTCAAGTTTTTTTCTTATTATTATTGCTTAATTTTATTTTATTGTTTGTTTGTTTTTTTTCTTCCTTCTCCTCTGAACATTTGTGGCCTTGCATTTGTCGCTGCAAAATTTCGGTCTTGCTCAGGGCCGTTTCTTTATAAACACATTGCCTTACTGTCACGATGAAGTGTGACCTGTGATCATGTCCATATGAAGGAGACTCAGTGTTTAGACCCAGAAGTTTGAGACAAATCAGCATTTAAAAAAAAAAAAAAGCCAACAGAGTTAAGAGAAAAAGAAGCCTAGTCTTTCTTTTCTTTCTTTTTCCTGATGTTTTCTCGTTGTTTGTTTGCCTCCAGTGTCGGGGCAGCAGTGCATGTCTGCTGCTCTGGTCTTTGACTGTAAAAATGCATTTATTTTAAAAAATAAAGTAATTTTTATTTAACATCTGACGTCATGTTTATGATACAGTTAATATATCATCATAGTGCCATATATTTAAGAACTGAATGCATACGTAAATAAGTAAAAGAACAATTACATATGAAAATAATAGTAATTATGGATAATTAATTCGTTTTTATTGTGTGGCCATTCCATTTCTGGGATCCTGTGTGGTCTGAAGTCTGATATTGGACCCTGTGTACGTGTGTGAAAAATGTTATTCATGACCTTGTTTGGATATATTAATATTATCAGGTCAAAACTTTATTAGTTTCATATACATATAAATGTGTATATGTACAGTATATCTGTCTACTGTAGTGTGTTAGCATTGTCTGGCCACCAGAGGGCAGTGTTTGTCCTCAAACACTCCGCTCTTCTCTCTATATCACCTTTACAAAATTTTCCAAGCTTTGTCGTTTTTTTCCCCTGTGGTCCCAGCAGAAACCAGGTGCCAGATTGTGAGAGGGATTAGACCAGAGGACGTCTGCAAACACTCGGCCTCTTTGGGGACTTTTGTCCCTTCCCTGCAGTGAACATGACACGGGTTTGCCCTGTCTCCTGCTGAGTGGTCGGAGGTTTGGATGTGGTGGTGATCGCAATCCCAAGGAGCTGCACACACCTGCTGATGACCAGTGCTGTCAAAACAATGTAATTGGTGTTTCATTAATGACCACAGTGGTCAGAGTCGGCTCCTGGCGTAGGTTAAGAAACACAGTCATTCCTGTTGGTGTTGACCAGACTTTACTGTCGACTAGAGAAGGTGTGGGGAAAGTGCTGTAAATGCTACGCTAAGTTGAGCAGTTTGTTTTAATTCCAATAAAGAATACCACAGATGGGATTTTTGGACTTCAAAAGTGTTGGTAGAAATCTGGCCTTTGTATCTCTAGCTTTGAACATTAATCAAGGAATTTGGGAGTGGCAGTGAAGTACATGGGGTGGTGCTGTATTGGGATAAAAAAAGTAGTGAATTGTGCAACCTTAGTGGAATATTGATTTGTGTGTAAGAATAAAAAAAAAATCTAACATAAGCTGCCAGGTGAGAAGAAAAGATTTATGGAGGATGATGGAGAACATCAGGATGATTTGATGTCGAAGTAAAAAAAACAGTGTTAGATGGAGGCAAATGTTTCGCTGTGGCGACTCCTAAAGGCTCTCGGGTGTAAAGGTGTTATATTATTTATAGCTGTAATTACACTTAAGCAAGTTGTGCAGCGACCACTGGGGGAACAATAAACCGCAGATTCTGTTTTTGGTGAGAACGACTCTCAGTGCTACCCTGAAAACTCCTGTGTTTCACAGCAGAGACTCTGCTCGCCCACATGATCACAGAGCGACAGTTACCTGCTCAAAAGCTGTGCTCTGCTCTGTGCTCGGCCTTCACTCTGGAGGGATCTGCCCTTTTGTGTTCACAGGATTAAAAACGAATCGGCCGGTGCTTCAGCTGCTGATAAGGAATTCCTGACACCTCCAGAGAGGACGGAGTGGAGGACGGCGTTAATGTGACAGGAATAAACGTGGGAGGTTCCCCGAGGACACGCCTATAGATCGTTCTCTCCATAACCAGTTAAATTACAGGCAGTAAAACCGTAAAAGAGCTAACAACGTTTTTATATCAACATCTGAGTTTTGAAAAAAACATTTGCTTTCCTCTTGTGCAAGATCACAGCTGGTTTTAATTCTCGTTCGTGTCCGTTGTTTGTCCTCTCTGTGTTTAAAGCCTCGTCCTTTTCAGGTGAGCTTTGACCTTTCCTCTCAGACATTTCCTGCCCTCCTCCCCTCAGACCAGCGACTCTACCTCATCCAGATGGATAGTTTTTTTTTTTTATTCTCCTTCTCCATCAGCTGACACTGTCATCCAGAGGTAATTTTCACAGAGTGTATCAAGGTTGACGCACCTGCTGGTCAGATGATGGAGAGATAAATCTCAATGACTGAAGTCCAACCTTCTTCTGCACCCTGAGAGCTGAAGTGAAAATGTATTTCATTTACTTGACATGTGACGCCGTCTCCCTCAGGATGATTTTTAATCCTGTATACAGTGATTGCCAACCTGCGGCCCGTGGGCCACATCCTGCCTGTTGACCTGTCAAATCACTTTTTTTTTCTCCATAATTATCATTTGATGTTTATTTTGGAATACAGTTGTGGACCGGACTGAATGGTTGGGTGAGCTGCACGTGGTCCGCAGACCACTAGTTGATGATCACTGGCATTCCCCAGTTTGACCAGTGATGTCACAAATCTGTCCAATCATGTCATGATGACCCCGTGACCTCTTTGGTCAGGACCTTTCACCCTGACAGCAGATCAAATGTTTCATTTTCTGCCTCAGCCTACGCCTAAAGTTGTCGGTGTGAATCCAAGCTCGTTTCCGTGCGGTTCATATTTGTGCCTCGCGTCAAATGTGTAAAACTTCAACCCTTACAGAAACATTAAAATGCCCTGGTCATTATCACGTCACACTTGTCATTATGCACGTCTGAAGAATTCTGCCGTTCGTGCTGGAAGCCTGTTGTACTGAGTCCAGCTGGACGTGGACTCCCAGGCTGTTGAGGCTTAGCTTCACTTTTGCTCTTTAATCCATTACGATACAAAGATGAAAAAAAAAAAAAAAACATCCGCATCGTATGAGTCTAATCAAGAAAAAAAAAAAAAACCTCCACATCGTATGAGTCTAATCAATACCATGAATTTAAAAAAAAAAAATCAAAGTAAATTCTTTTGGGCCATCGAAAGCTGTTCTTTCTCTTTTGGTCTGTGATCAACAACAAATGACATGCACTTAAATTACAGAGACTGGTGTGTTTCCAGGGTGTGTTTGTGCTGCATTGATCACTGATGCTATTATTTTGCACAAAACAAAAAAACAAAAGCAGTATCTTTCAAAATCTTTTTATTTAATATTCAGAATAATAAATTATACTCATCCACTTTAAAAAAGAAAAAATGACTTTTAATAATGTAGGACTGGTAATTTACTGCCCTGTCCCTCCTGTATCCTCTGTCTTTTATTTGTTCTCCTGGCCATAAAAGTTCTACCTTAAACAACCTCACATATGTTCTTCCCATTTCCCTGAACTTCTTCTTACTGTCCAGATATGTTTCAATGGAAAATGCTCTGGGCTGAGCTATAAACGGGGCCAAGAGTCTTATCTTGATGTCATCAATTATTCCCCCAGAGCTGCTAAAGTGATGTTTAAAAAAAAAAAAAGATTCTGAGAGAGCTCTCACTGTGTGATTCTAAGCCTAGAACAACAAACGCTGAGCCGGAGAAGTCCCAACGTTTATTTTTGTCCTCAATTAATGTGTGCTAACAAGTTTTACTGTAAAATGGGGAGGGGGTGGGGGGTGTTACACAGAGTTCATTTGCTGTTTTTTTTTTCTTCTTCCTCCACTCACGTTCTTTTGCCGTGAATCACGTTAATGGGAGCTGACGTTTGAGTCATCGTGGGCAAAGCTAACATATACGAAGTGCTGTCCAAATGTTTATCAAGGGGAGGCCAGATTTGATGATGTAAAAATACTCCGGGGGCCAACTGTGATACTTTAGGTTAGGTTTATTGTCACTTAAAGTTGATCTCCATCAGCTTCGATGATATCCATTTCACCCAGTTCTGCAGCAAATCAATGAAACTGATCAAGATACAGGAAAGATAGAAACCTGATGGGCAAAAACTTCATTTCTCACTTAGCTTCTGGAAATAAAACCTGTAAAAATAACAGTTAGCAACAAATGTAAAGTAAACATGACAAAGGTGTGTTGAAACAAAATTGCAAATACTATATATTCAACCATAGCTTAATTTAGCTGCAACAGCAAGACCTGCTAAACCTTAGCTTAACAGTAGTAAAGTATTTGTACATTAGCGCTGAAGAATTTGTAACAGTTTAGAACGAAAGAGTGGCCGACGGACAAGGGGATATGCTGAGATGCATCGGCCAATCAGTGTAAGGAACAGAAATTAGACTATAGTACACCTGGTACGCATTGTATTAGCCAATAGTATGCTGTGGACGATCTCGTCTAGGTAAACAACACTCCCATTGATCGTTCGCAAATGCGCTTATCTCAATTTCAAAACAAGAATCCACGTTTTTAAAGCCAAAACTTTCGTATGTATAATTATTTTTAATGTCTTAGATTTTGCTAAATTTTACGATATAGCAAGAATTTTGCGAGATCGGTTTGAATGTGGACGATCTCGTCTAGGTAAACAACACTCCCATTGATCGTTCGCAAATGCGCTTATCTCAATTTCAAAACAAGAATCCACGTTTTTAAAGCCAAAACTTTCGTATGTATAATTATTTTTAATGTCTTAGATTTTGCTAAATTTTACGATATAGCAAGAATTTTGCGAGATCGGTTTGAAAAAAAAAATCTGCGACGTACTGAGGGAGCGAAAGGAGAACCACGATATAAAGAGGGAACACTATATGTCCCCGCATTACAACGTATTCATCCGCTCTGCTTGCCAACTAGTTCCCATGTGAAATTTGTTTTAACACGATGTTCCTAATAAATTAATAGGAGATAATGACGTAACAAAACCAAAGCCCAAAATGAGATATGACTGCATGAATTAGCCAAGACACAACTAACCGTTAGCTCAAATTAGCTAAAACATAGTAGCGATTATTGTCCAACATGTCTCATATTTATACAAATGCGGAGCAAGAGAGCGTTAACAGACGTCACTTCTACTTATCCTGTCCTGTGTTCCAGTACTGGTTCAGTCTCACTGTCCTCCAGGACGTCATGTAGATACTGTTAGCATTCACTGGACTCATTAAAGTCCCAGAGCAGATCCAGAGGGTGTCCTCTCTGCAGATGAGGTCACATC